CTCTCACTTCCGAGGTGCAAACTTAAAAACAGAGAAGAGAAGCACACATAAGAAAATAAATATAGAGACCGAACAGGCACTCAGGCAAGAAAGTAAATATAGAGACTAACAGCAGCCAGGAGATTTAAAACCATACCAGTAACAACATCCCCATAATGAGGAGCCAGATATGCAGTAATGCAAATAGCCATTTTGGCAAGGTCTGCAGCATCGGGTATAGACATTCCAGACTCTATGAATCTGCCCTTCCTACCAAAAATAAAAATAAAAAATCATAAAGTAGTTTGATTTCAAAAAATCGACAGGAAAAATAGCACCCAACACAATGTAAATGAATTATAACTTACTACAAGAAAAACCAGAAACGAGTTTGTTTAGCTCTCAACATAATGTAAACGAATCACATAAAAACGCATATAAGAGATGGGAGCATACTGTTTCACAAAGATTGTTACTTGTGAACCAGATCCAGTAGCAAGTACATCATTTTTAGTAATAACCCCATCACCATTCACCTTATACAGAGCACGCTCCTGGACACAGTTAAGAGACAGTTAAGAGACTAGGGTATGAAAGATTCTATTTCAGAATATTAAGAAAAAAAAATTTAATAATAAATATTACAGAAAGAAAGAAGTACTGATTCGTTCCACACGGCAATAAGTATTCCTACTGACGAATGATACTCTTTCTCAGCCGAAATAGTGCTAGCCAGCCAGTCCAACAGTTCTTAACCGAAGTTACATGTCGAGCCTGCAAAACAATCCTTTCTTAGTTTTCATTTCTTAATTTTCTTTTCTTTTTTTTTTTTTATAGATGGAAGTGTCAAGATGCCTTTCTTAGTTTGCACGCACCATATAATAATAGAAGACAAAACATGGGCTCTTAGTGTAAATTGTAAACTTATATAAGTACTTGATATTGCAGAGATTTGATCAGAGATGTGAACAAGGAAGTGTCTCTTCCTCTATCTTTTCCTCCGGAAATGGTGGCCACCATGCAATGATTCAGTTGAAAAATGTTGGGTTCGGCGTCGTATGCTAAATTCAACAGGGTAAGTAAGTTAGTAAGGTTGGTACAGCACATATGAAAGGCGGCAGGCGAATGTACATAAATAAGGA